TTTCCCCCCCCCCCCCCCCCTCTCCAGTTCGTTAATATATGTTATTACCTGAGAGGCTGAGATGATGCCCTAGGCAATCAGTAGACTCTCAATCGGTGAGTGTCAAACCTATTCAGTCAATGCACCCTTGACCGGGACCGAGATCTCTGACTGAAAGAGATGGTCTCTGGGCGGGAGGTTGTCACTTAGCATTAGGAGTAGTAGTTGCCAATTGAGAAGATGGTTTCTGCTGTGCCTAGGTCTTAATGATGCTACAGAGAGTGGTCAGTAAGGAGCTGGTCTGATATTGGCTCAATATGTTGGGAGAAAGTGTTCTAATTGTCTCTCTCCTGGTTCTGCCCAGTTCCGCCATCCCTCTCTTTTGTGTGTGTATGAGTGAGCCTGTTTCTTTATGTATCTTGGTTTGCATAGGAGCCAGTGTTTATCTTGTATGGCATGAAGTACATAATCATTTACAATAGGTACAACGTCGAAATTATAACATGCATGTGTTGGTGGTTGTTGTTCCTGCACGTTTTATTTTGATTGTTATCTTACATCATTGCTATGAAATAACAGCTGTTTAAGCATCAAAAGGTGTAAGAAATGTTGCATTTCAGGTACCTTTATATCCTATTACACACACTTATGCACATACACACACTTTGTCCGTGGTGTATATAGCTCAGAAGTATTGTCTAACTGCTTGTCAATTTTTGAAAAATGTAATTCAATTAGAGAGTTCCGACTGTTTTTATATTGGGGAGCTAACTTATTTCAATTTTTATTAGATCATGGGATGGGGGCATAGAAATTTTCTGTTTGAACCTTTCAACTGACTCTGAGTTCAGGTCTTTGTATCATTGGTTGTACTTTTTTTTTTCTTGATCACTTGCTTTGATGTTGATATTAATCCTGGAGAGTCACAGTACTGGAATCATTTTCTAGTCTGATCATTATAGGAACTTGTTATCCATAAAATTATGCTTTAATCTATGTTCTGTTTTGACTCTTCTCTGCTGGCTACCTGATTCTTGGGTCAATAATATTACCTACACCTACTTTTTCTGTCTCTCGAACTTTCTTCTCCCCGAAAAGGGCCCTTGTTGAGCTTACAAGAAATCACATGTTTGTCGAATGTTTCAGTACCTGCTGCTTCAGAAGCTACCTGGGATTCACTGGTTCTTAAATCCGAATTACCCGTCCTAGTCGAATTCTGGGCTCCATGGTGCGGTCCTTGCCGCATGATTCATCCGATCGTTGACGAACTATCTAAACAGTATGCTGGTAAGTTCAAATTTTACAAGGTGGATACTGATAGCAACTCTGGTGTTGCATCCCGATATGGTATCAGAAGCATACCAACTGTCATTATCTTCAAAGATGGTGAGAAAAAGGAGGCAATAATAGGTGCAGTTCCCAAAGCAACTTTGACTGCCAGCATTGAAAAATTCTTGTAGAGATGGCTGATGATGAGGTTTAAGCTGCTTTCCCACAATTTCCTTATTTTAGCCTCTGATATCTGAAGATGAATTCTCTACTCTGGAAATAAACTCTCCTCTTTTGTTTACATATAGTTCTTGATGTCTCTGTATCTTCTTTAGATTGTATTTATTGCTGCAATACTGTTCCTATGAATGCATCTTTCTTTATAGAATCATTTACTTTTCTAATTTCAACATACATGACATTCTGCTATGTATTGTTAGTTGCATTGAACAATGCATGCTTGCAAATCAACTGCTAGGATGCATGAATTACTTGTCACATTGTGTTGAATAGAGAGGAGCTTTGGCGTTTATGTTAAATGAGTTCTCTCAAGTGGCCACAGAGGAAGTTGTCATCTTTGTTTTGAGTCGTTTAGTTGGTTTAAGCAGTAAAACAAAAAGTCTTTGAAATATTTGAGTTAAAAGAGGGGCTGGGATGTTTAAAGGAGTTTTGAAATTTTAATTTTGTATTTAATATGTCTCGACTACGTCTCTCTGTCAGGTTTAGAAGGGTTGACAGGGATTCAAATGATGTTTAATCCCTCGTTGAGATTTGAATAACGAAGCTTCTTTTTATATTATCTAATAGATTGAATTTAATTTGACCGAAGCTCTTTTCTTTAGCTCATTACTAATTATGTTCGCAGACTTTTAAATTTTTATTTATTTGATTAAGAAGTATGTATCTCTTTAATTTTTATTTATTTGATTTAGAAGTATCTAAAGAGGTGTATGATGATTGGTGGTATAATTTGTAAACATTTTCTCAACTTCTTTTTTTATTTGTAACTTAAGTTTCATATATTTGAATAAAATCATGATTAGGTTTTCTTGTAATTGTTCCTAATATATTTATAAAAGAAGGAATTAAAATTTAATTGGTCAAAATTATTTTAATAAATTTATTTAATAGAAATAAACTATCTAGCAAAATAATAATAATAATAAAAAATAAATAAATAAATAAATTATTGGAATTAATTTGATAACTAGCAAATATATATATATTATTTATATGAAAATTTGACATAAATCCCATGCAACATGCATCCTATTATCAAATGCTTATTTTCAGGTACTGTAAACAAAATTTTAAATCAAACCGCTTCTAAATCACAAATTTAGTTCATAAACTTTCAAATTTTTATTTAGTCTTTAAACCTTCTAAAATATTTAATGAAGTGTTCGGTTTGAAGTTTTAAAAGATGAAAATTGGCATGAGTATTCATAACCCACGATTCTTTCAAGGATTCAATAGATTCACTTTAAAAAATCTCGATAAGTTCTATTGTGAATTTTGTGTATAATAAGGTTTTGATATTGAAACCATAAATTTTGTGTCTAGGTTCCAATAACATAACCTTATTAGACAAAAACCCTAATCCAACAATTTTTTTTTTTTGTCAAAAACCCTAAATGGGTTCATGAAAATTTTCTAAAAAATGTTCAATAAGTCATACGGCTCCTCGTTCAATTCTTTCGAAATTATTAGATCCTTTCCTCGTTCTAAAATCTCCTTCCCTCTTCCATTCCATCCCGAAGAGTGACCGGGATCAATTCAGTGATGTTTTTATTCATTTGGAATCTGGGCTCTTCTACGTTACAAAATTGAAAATTTAATGATTTATTAGAACATAAAATTAAAAAAATACAAAAGTAGATTGAAAACTTTTAGGAGTTAAAAGACTTATTGAGAGCAAATAAATATAAATATGAAAGTTTAGAGGCTAAATTTGTAATTTAACAAAAACGAAAATTTAAAAGAACGTCGACTCAATGAAGAATACGTCTTTATAAACGGGGAGACTAATTTTATAACTCTTTCTCTACTCATTATGTTCACTTGGGAGCAACTCAATGAAGAAGCCCTAGAAGGCTAGAATGTGAAGTTACCATTTTTCTTTGCTTTTTAGATATAAAATGCAGAAGAAAAGGGAAGGGAAAAAAATTGGGTTATAGATCCACCTGCGAGAGGTGGGTAGCCTTAACCGGATGTGTTAACAGGGAAGCCCGAAGGCTGTTCCCGACCCTGTCAGGGGAGATGCCAACCATCTCTCCTTTAATCGAACACAACGTGACGGATGTTAACTTTATATCATATAAAAGAAATTAATTGACAAATTTTTCGATGTGGGATGTACCAAAATAGAACCTTACATCTCCGGGCTTTCCGCTCCCATTTCCACTCTCCTGTAATTCTCTAATCCCGAACGAAAATGGCTACAGATCGAAACGGTGAGCTATTTACTAAGAGAGGAAGTTCCGATAACGACGAGACCAGCGAAGGAAGAGGAGAAGAAGAGAACGGTGCTAGGTCAAAGAGAAATTCCGACAAAGATCGTGAAAATTTGAGCTCCAATTGACGAAAACGCAGGAAATCAGTTCGGATTCCGATGATAAGCATGACAAGAAACGTGGAATGAGTTCAAGAAGAAGGCGCACATCCCGTAAACGACACGGTAGTAGCGAGAAGGATTCTGATTCCGAGGATACCGAATTTGATAGCTTGGAGTATGATTTGAAGAGGAGGAGGAAGAGAAACGGAGGAAGGAGAAGAAGGAACGAGGAAAGAAAGGAGCAGTGACGAATTCGTGCGGAAAGTACAACATTATCAAAGAAACTGATACCTGGTACGTGATGATTGAATTCCATGAATGCTTCGGTTGTGCTTACTGTCTTCCTTTCTTGCAAAACTTTTTGGCTTTGATGAAGCTCTCTGCATGTAATCCGTTAAACCTGATATTCGTTATACTGTGAAACAGTTTCTATATTGGTTTCTTCTGCAGAACCATTGGCTCTTTCTTGCAACTTCTTGATTGATGAAGTTCATTGCATCATCGTAAATTGATTGATGCCCAATATTTTTCATTAGCTCAATCATGCTAATTCATGACATCTGTAATCTGTAACATTATCTTACGGCTTACAACTACAAAGTTTGTGCAATTGCTCTATGCAGTAGTTGAATTTCCTTCATTTTTATGAATAGATTGCATACTTTCAATGGATTTGAATTAATTAAAACCAAATTAGTTTGTCGAGAAACGCAAGAAGACTTCCAAGACTTGATCCAGATAACCCACTTTTGATGTTTATGGGACTCATATTACTTTCGTAGTGTGCCTATTCGTTTGATTGAACATGAATGTCTACCAAGGTGGGAAGAATTTATGATCTAACTGCTTTGGTAGCTGTGGTATTGTTGCTGATCATATTACTTTGAATATTACATTGCTTTTAGGTGAACATGGGAAGTCTAGCGAATTGGGATGAGAAGCTAAGTTTTTGAGCAGTAAGTAGACGAACTGATCATGTTTAGTTTGCTCCTCACAGTCGTTACTTGTGAGATCCCACATCAGTTGGAGAGGGGAACGAAGCATTCCTTATAAGGGTGTGGAAACCTCTCTCTAGTAGACGCATTGTAAAACCGTGAGGCTGACGGAGATACATAATGGGCCAAAGTGGACGATATCTGCTAGTGGTAGGCTTGAGCTGTTACAAATGGTATCAGAGCCAGGCACCGAACGCTATGTCAGCGAGGATGCTGGGCCCCTAAGGGGGTAGATTGTGAGATGTCACATTGATTGGTGAGGGGAATAAAGCATTCCTTATAAGGGTATGAAAACGTCTCCCTAGCAAACGCGTTTTAAAACCGTGAAGCTGACAGCAATATGTAACGGGCAAAAGTGGACAATATTTGCTAGCGGTGGATTTGAGCGGTGACTAAAGATAGCTGTTATGTTTATTTCTCTTACTCATTTTGTGATGATTGTTTGTGCAGATTCATGGAGGACCTTACACGGCCACTTTTCCATCCGAAAAAGTAAGGTTCTGAGTGATTTTTGTATGCAGCTACCACGTTCTTGTCTGAAAAGTTAGAAAGAAAGAAAGAAATGAACATAGAATGCTAGATGGAACATTACTACGATCAATATCTCTTGTAGTGTGAACTTTATACAGCATTTTTAATGTGTTTGATGATGAAGAACAGAGGAGATGGTTAAGTAAGATGGTTAAGTTCGAACTTTGTCAGTTAGCTCGGTTAATAATTTCACTCTACTTTTCAGGCAAAAACTACTCATAGAGCGAACAAGCTCGACTCGGAGAGGAGATGGCTTACCAGTATAAGCTTGGAAACTTTGAGGTTGGCATAAATGTGAACGAAGTTTTCCTGTAGTTTAATTTGATGCAATCTCGGGCTAGTTCCTCGAGTTTTTGCTACATCTTAATTCAGGCTGCAGCTGCCATCCAGCAAAGATTGGACCCAGATATTGCCCTGTGAGAGTCTATGTTTTACAGGAGATACATATTGCCCTGTGAGAGTCTATGTTTTACAGGATTATCTCGTGTTTGGTACTGCATGGTTCCACTCTTGAAAGTCTATGTTTTACAGGATTATCTCGTGTTTGGTACTGCATGGTTCCACTCTTGAGAGTCTATGTTTTACAGGATTATCTCGTGTTTGGTACGGCATGGTTCCACTCTTGAGAACCACGAAGTTCACAAATGTTGTCTTTTGGGTTCATGGAAGCTCTCCAATCCCAGGGCTAGTTCCTCAAATTTTTGTTGCATCTTATTACAGGCTGCAGCAGCCATCCAACGAAGATTGGACCTAGATATTGCCTTGTGACAGAAGAGTGTATTTTGCGGTTTGGTACTGCATCGTTCCACTCTGAAGAAGTTTTTGAACGTTTCTAAATGTTGTCTTTGGATTCCAAAGGGAAGCTCTCCAATCCGATCATTTCTGTCGACCTTCGTGGATAAGGAATTAACTCAATGAAAGTTCTCATACCAAATGATAAGGAATCACTATAAGGAAAGTAAGATTCCGATTATCTTGTTGATCGAATATCTCAAATCTCAAGACAAGAACATTTGTTTGAGATTTGAATCACTTCACAACGAAGATCGATAATGTCTAGTTTGAATAATTCTATATGTAACCTAAACTATAGAATTACTAAGACTAAAAAAATATATAAATGTTCATTTTACTGCATTTTCTAAGTCTCTTCTATAAAGATAACATACATAGCTTTATATATAGCTATATTATAGCTTCAAAATTAAAACTCTTAATCTTCAAATCATTCATGAAATTTGAAGAACGATAACTTTGCTATTACGAATATAATTAGTCACTAATATATACTTTATGATCGCGATGTAAATAAGTTTTAATATTAAAGATAAATGAAATATATATATATATATATATATATATATATATATATATATATATAGTTAATTAATCCTATTTTTAATTCAGCGCACCTCCCTCCCACCCCAGCTGCTGCATCCTAGCCCTGCGTGACGCGCGTCTCAGCCTCCCAACGAACTCTCCGCAGCTATCTCCCTCTCACATTCTCTCGCCTCCGTGCAATCAGAGTTACTTATCTCCCTCAGCCCCTAACCCCTGCCGTTAGTGTGGTTGCGCCGCCGCTCATTTTCAGATTCAGCCCAAGGTTTTGCTTTTTCTGTTTTATTTTTTTAGTTTGTTTCATTGATTTATTCGTTCACCCACGAAGAAGAACATCGAAACAAGCGTTTTTTTTTTTTGTTGATTTCTGCTTCAACCAATTTTCAATCAATCCAAATGAAAACATAAAGCTAAAAAGGCATCAGAGTTTGTTTGAAAGAAATTGAGTTTGCTTGAGTATAGAAGAAACCATCGATTCTTAACTGTTGTAGGGAGGCTTAAATCTATTTTTTGAAAATAGAAGAAATTTTTCGAATTAGAACGGATTTGAAATCTCCCCAAATTCAGGGGCTCCAAACAGTAAAACATGAACCTATCGTGCCATGTTCTTTGACCCTTTAGGAGGCTTGGCTCTCTGAGTGCTGTAATGACTAAGGTAGGCTATTTGCTCGTTATTTGCAGAAAGGAATGGGAGGCAGAGGAGTTATTGGTGACAAATGGTCCATGAGGGTTCTCTGGGTCTGTGCCCTAGGAAGTGCAGTCGGTAAGCCATATTAGGGCATGTTTGAGAGAGACTTTGAAAGAGTTTAAATTACTTTTATCATGTTCAAAATAACTCTAAAGCATGTTTTTAATCGTTCAGAGGTCTGAAATCTGCATTTAAACGTGTAAGATTAAGCATTAAATTGATTTGGATGATTAAAGGCCTGTTTGAAGTGATTTTGAGTATGACAAAAGTGATTTTTACCATTTTAATTCAGTCCCAAATATGGCTTGGACTTGTAAACTTTTGTATCATTCTTTATCTTCATATAAGGTATAACAAGACTTCCTAACTTGATAATTATTATCACTTGTCTAGGTTTGTATATGGTTGCTCAAGAAAGACAATTACAGAACAGGGCAAGAATGTTGGCTGAGAGTTTGAAAGACGTGGAATCAGGAGGCAGTGGTGAAAATGTTTAGGCCTTTTAGGGCGTTGTTGAAATGTGAGTTCCAGACTACCTGAGATTCTCTATCTTTTGCAAAGTGCTCCCATCTCTTATGGTGGCTACAAACCAATACTGTGAGTTTCCAATAATGTGAAATAGTTAGATCCCTGTTTATTTGTAATGAACTTGGGTTTCATCTGAATTCATGGGTTTACAATAATTATGCTGAATCAGTGTTTAGTGGGTCACTTTGAGAAATGGGATTCAGAAGCAGATGTATCAAAAGTTCATAATTTTAAAGACGTGCTTTTGATGTTTCACTAGTGGATGACTTTGAAGAACCCTTTCACCTTCTCCTTTGATATCATTCTTTAGGGTAAGGTACAACCTTTTTAGTACCTCAACTTTCTTTGAAAGCCAATCTCTTTGTTACTCTAGATGAGTTTACAATAGAAAAGTCTCTGTTCATTGTAAGATCCTTAAATGAAGGAGGAATTCGTCGAGGTTGAGAATTGTACTTTGAAATGGAAGCTGTGTCCCGCTCTTGATCTATATTTTGGAGTAGGAGTTGAGGAGTTGAATTCTTTCTTTCCCCAATAAGTTTGAATCTTCACAAATCTCACGAGTAGTTCTCGTTGTACCATAATGGAGATTTGATTTAAACGCCATCGTTTTCTAGCATAATCTAATGACCTTAGCCATTCTTTGCTCAAGTCTCATCCCTCTTCCACCCAACCTTCTTTTTATCTCATCATAAAATTCCACCCCATTCTTTGTACAAAACCTATGGATCCCTCACCTTTTGTCTTTTTTTTTTAAAATTTTATCAAGCACAGAATTCATGAAGAAAGTAAACCTTTCCTTTTTATTAGTTAAACCAATTCCTAACCATTCTTCTCCACAGACCCATAACGGAAGCAAACCAAATTCTTCCTTTGGGAAATTGCTTATTGCCCCAACAACACATGAAAAGCTTCAACGTTGCATGCTTTAAATGGCTATTTCACACACTGGTGCACTTTTGCCACACTATTCTGGACATACCTTGTGAGTGCCTTTGAATGGAAGGCTCCCTTCCCCGAGAAAGCTCACCTTCTCCTTGCTTCCACTTCATTGGGGGCATCCCTTTAAGAATGAGAAGAGATATCCTTGGGTTAACTTCATCAAAGCCTTCTTGTAGGTCACATGCAACGAACAAACCACAGAACCTTTCAGGCCAAGGAAAGGCCTTTTGGGCACCTTTTGGATAGTATTACTTACTTAGCTATGTCTTGTTGGTGTAAATTGTTACCTCTTTTTAAATCCTACACACCTTTATCTCTTCCTACCAATTGGAAAAGCTTCTATAACTCCTTTCGTTTGGGATTTCTCTCCCTTCTTTTGTAATTTCATCCATCAATAAAATAGTTTCCTATATATTTTAAAAACCATTCTTCTCTACAAAACCCACCATGTGAATCTCCAGTGTTCATGCCTTCTGCACTTCTTCTGCCATTTCTAAATTTCGTCTAAACCTAGTTACAACTTTTACCTTACCACTTGATTGTATGAACTTCGAACTCTGGGATTTTTGTTTTAAATTCTACCCTTATAGTTTAAACTTGTTAGAATTTTTACCTTATGGAAAACATCTTTAATCATGTCCTTCAATTCAGGATTATACCTCATTTTAGTCTCAACAAGATTGTGACATGGCATCTATAATCGATACATTCTTGTTGAGTTAAAACAATTCATTATGTTTTAACCTTTTGAGTTGTATTCATGTTGGTTTAATTACTATGATGTTCATTAATTTTTTGACTTAAAAGCATGAAAATTGTTTCTGAAAGTCCATACTGCTCCTCTTTGGTATATAACTAATCCCATATGAATGCATAAACACGTAATGTTTAGATAGCAACACTGATTTCATGACCAGTGGATTCCTGGAAAATGAAGCCATACCCACTGCCCTTACTTTACCTTCCCCACGCCTCAAACTTCAGTTCCCTTCGCACATATATAAAATCCCTCCTATTCATCTTCACTTCACACTCATCCAAAGCACCAAATCTTCACTAAAACCATGGGTTCCCTCAAATATTTCCTTCTGTCTCCTTTTGTTTTCCTCTGTTTAAGTTGCACCTTTGCCAATAGAGTCCCCAACTCTGATGATGGATCTGGTTTTGATGTTGGGGCAGGGCCAGGAGCCATACCAACAGCTGGCCCAGGAGTTGAGAAAGGTGTAAGCAATGTTAGAGCTGGTCCAGCAGCTGAGGGATGGGTAAACGATGTTTGGGCTGGACTGAAAGCTGGTCCGAAAGCTGGTCCAGGAGCTGAGGGATGGGTAAGCGATGTCAAGGCTGGTCTGAGAGCTGGACCGAAAGCTGGTCCGAAAGCTGGTCCAGGAGCTGAGGAATGGGTAAGCGATGTTAAGGCTGGTCCGAGAGCTGGACCAAAAGCTGGTCCAGGAGCTGAGGGATGGGTAAGCGATGTTAAGGCTGGTCTGAGAGCTGGACCGAAAGCTGGTCCAGGAGCTGAAGGATGGGTAAGCAATGTTAAGGCTGGTCCTACAGTGGGACCAAGAGCTTGGCCAGGAACTGAGGGAGGGGTAAGCAGTAGTGAAGGTGGTGTGAGGAGAGATGTTGATCCAATGATTAATGGACTGGGACTGGGACTGGGAGTGGATATTGGGTATAGGTCAGGATTTAGGGCAGGTCTAGGGGGAGGGGAGCATTGGTTTGGCCCAGGAATTGGAATTGGAGGTGGAGGGGTGTCCAATGAGTGCACATTGGGGTATGTTTGTCCAACCTACGGACGCAGGGGATGCGACAAATTTTCTTATGGAAATTGCGATACTTATGGCTTTCATCCATTGATGGCTTCCATGCACCTGCACGAAGTTGAAATGAAATGGGCCAAAGGCAGCAAGCCTGCTGCAACGCCTCAAAATGGCGTCTAGTTAAATGCTTTCATGTCCATCTCCTCCTTTCACTCCTGCAAAATATTAAATAAAGTAATGTTCTTTCACCTCTTGATGAATAAAAACAAGCTGAATACCTTCCCTTGCCTTGCCCTTCCCACTCAATAAACAACTCACATCCAATGAAAGAGTTTCCAATTCCATTACATTCCCTCTTTTGTTTAAATAATCCTAGCTAGTCATCTTCTTGAGCGTCATCGACTCGTTATGTTATAATACTGAAGTTTGGATGTTGAAATGAAAATGTGGTTTGAAATGGCTTTCTTAATGAATGGATATGGTTTGGTTGGATTATTTGTAAACTTGTTTTTAAAAAAGATAGTTGCTGCAGTACAGGGTTTGAGTTTGTATTATTGAAATAAAATGAGAGGCATGGGTGTTCAATTCAATCCGTTGAAAACTGTCATCTTAAATTTATGAGGCATGGGAGTTTGATGTAACTGTCATCGTACACGTAAAATGACATGGGAGTTCGATGTAACTGTCATCGTACACGTAAAATGACAGGCATTTTGATGGAAGTTTTAAATTGTCATCATTGCAAACCATCGTCATACTCATGACACTTGCAAAAGTAATGGTTGACGATAATGAACAGTCGATGTTGTAGACTTAAAATATTGTAGTGTATGTTAGAAGACAGAATTTCTTACCCTATGATTCTTTAAGACAAGACACATTTCCATATTTCTTTTGTCAGAATACTGATCATTCAATTAAAACATTCATCTTTCTCCTCCCTCCCTATGTTGTCCTTTCCTTTCTTCATCTCCGTTTCCCTTCTTCGATCGACTTGGTGCCACCATTGGACCTCCCGTTGTCGCTTGCAACGACATCATCTCATCTTCTATTTTCTTCTTCCTCGCTCAATCGACCATCTCTCTCCGCACACATTTCATGTTGGGAACTCAGACGACTGCCCAAAATCAACTATGGAAGATGGATAGAATCATTCACTCGTCGGTATCCAAGTTTTGCCACTACTACTGACAAACACCCAAATTACATCCTCCTCCGCTCCCAAATCCTTGATCTTAAATAGCAACATCGTCGAGTAGAGGCCACTAGTAAAGGGCGTGAGGCGGCGGTGCAGCTAAGTGGATGAAGTGGTTCCGCCATGGTAAGCATACTATAAACAAAATAGAAAGTTCCATAAGTCGAACATTATAAATATATGAATGCATGCCTAAGATGTGAGCATGCTATACATGTTAGTAAAAATATTATGACTCTAGATTATGCTTATAGTTTATTGAGTCATGGGCTGTATATTGAGTATTGTAGTCTACTAATTCCCGTGGAGTTCCTTATCGATGCGCTGTGTGCTAAGTAAGGAATAATGAGAATTCTTGATCGTTGGTTTATATGATGTTAAGAAATTAGTAGATGGGCTGTATTTGACGGAGGGCGAATCTTAAATACGTGTCCGTAAATTCTAAACAAGCATATAGAGAGTCAATAACCCAAGCTAAAAGTAGCAATAACACCTTTTAATGAACAAATAATCCGGAAGGGTTAGAAAGATAAATAATAAAACTTGTAAATGACAAGTTAGCTACTTACCCACTAAATAAATTACTCATCAAGATTATTTTAACTTTTCTTTCGAGACAGAGAAAGTGCAGAACAATCGAGGTGACGAGGTAGCCAGATTAGAGAGATTACAGAGAATCCTTTTTCTGAGTCTGTTTTACGTATATGTGCTTTTGTTGTTAAAAACTTATATACGGGTTATTTTGAGTAGTAAAAAGTACTTGGGTTTACATGGACGGATTGATTTAAATGTTTTACTTACCATGTATGAATATATTTTATTTTCTGGTTGGTTTTCAAAGCAAATTATCTGTCAGTAGTAATCTTGTGATTCGAGATGTCAATAAGCGGATATTACAGGAGGGATGTTTGAGAGCCTAGTAGCAACAGAGGGAGTCGGCCCGAGACGTTTGTCGAGTCTTCATTTTTATATAGATAATCTGTTTTTATGTATCTTGATCTCATTCCCTCTTTGTAATCAAAACTAAACATTTATACTTCTATTTGTTTGGTAAAATGGTTTAAATTTCACGAAATTTTATAGTAATTGTTCATCGCCTATTCTTTTCACACATTTTCATTGGATGGTTAGTTGGTCTCGATCTTAGTTTTCAAAGACTCAAAAATTAGGTCACGACATTAGTAGTTTTAAACGTAAATGTAAGAAATTTTAATACCCAAAATCAATTTATTTTCAAGTCAACTTTTACTTGAGAGACTATTTAGTTATTTAATTAAGTTTCTTATAAATTTGAAAATGTAAATTTAAAAAAAAAAACTAAGATTATTAATGAAAATTTAAAAAGTTAAAAAGGTAATTTTAAAATTTTTAATAGTTTAATATTATTAATAGTTTTTTTAAAATGTCATATATAAAGTATAAAACTTTTTATTAATTTTTAATGTTTTAATCCTGTTCTATAATCTACTCTGAAATTATTAAAAGAAAAAAATGGAAGTTGGAACCGCATAATCGAGCGGTTGGTTGGGTAACTGGTCGCCAGAAATGGTGCTCTCGTTCTCTCTCTCGACCTAAACGAGCTTCTCAATCGCCTACGACGGCCATAGATCTGCATCCAAAACTCTGGAATCTGCACTCATTATACTTGGAGCATTCAAGCAATGGATCGTGTGCTAAAGGCCGCAAGAGCATCCGGCTCTCTTAATCTTTCGAATCGCTCTCTCAGGTAAGTACTGTATTCATTTGCACATCCTGATCATTACTTGAAACTCCACTGAAAGCGATGATTAAGGAGATAGCACTTTAATCTTGTATTGTTTGAAGATCATGTACCTGATTTTGGTTATAATCTTTAGTGATGTGCCAAGTGAGGTTTATCGGAGTTTGGATGCAGTTCAGGCGGACGAGAAGTGGTGGGAGGTAAACTTCCTTCACTTTCGAGTTGGAGGTCTAAGAATTGGTTCTAAATTGTTTCATTCATTGCTTTGTTTTTGCAGGCTGTGGAGCTACATAAGCTGATTCTAGCTCATAATAATATTCAGTTGTTGGATGAGGAGCTAAGGAATTTATCTTCTCTTACTGTATTAAATGTTAGTCACAACAAACTTTCTGAACTACCAGCTGCAATTGGAGAGTGAGTTCTGATTTAGTATTTTTTCTTAAGAAAAAAAAAAAAAAAACACTCCTGTACTCATTTCTTAGAAAAGTTTAAGATGGTTGTATTTTGTTAATTCACCTTTGCAGGCTTCCTGTCCTAAAGCTCTTAGATGTGTCCTTCAATTCATTAATGAGAATACCTGAGGAAATTGGATCCGCCACTTCACTTGTCAAGTATTCCTCTTCCCTTCTACATATCCCCAGTAGATTTACTTATTCATAATTTGTGAGGAGAGAATCTAGCAGAATATTTGCGGAAATGAGAGATTGTTGATGAATTCATTTGCCTTTAAGTGGTAATTTTTTTTTTTTTTTTTAATTCTATGGGCATCTAGGGGAATGACATTACAAGGACACAAGGAACTGAAGAATTGATTGAAGTCATCTAAAAATCAATGTTCAGTCTTCTTTTTTATTTGAAGTGTTTTTCAGCTTTTCTAATTGAATAATATTTTTGTAGATTCGTACAGACATGATTAATCTTCCTCTCCTTTACCTCATTTTTTTTTGCTTTCCTGAATAAAGAACTGACATTTACCATTCCTGCAAATATTCACTTCTAATTGTAGTTCCAACATGTAAAAAGAAATAATTTTTTAGTTTTGTAAATCCATTTTCCTTTATTCATTTTTATCATTGAGCTTCCAAATGAACATGTAAAAAGAAATAATTTTTTAGTCTTTTAAATCCATTTTCCTTTATTCATTTTCTACCTGACTAATTGAGGCAATTGTTTTCCTTAGATTTGACTGTTCAAGCAATCGCCTTAAGGAACTACCAGGTGGACTTGGAAGGTGTTCAGATCTATCAGATCTGAAGGTAATTATTTCCTGCTGTGATCTGCACTGACTTTCAAATCCCGAAATGGTCTGTTTCTTGAGCAGTCTGCCTTGACTGACCTTGTGGTGCCCTTTCCATTTCCTAGTAGTAACTCTATCTTTGCTATCCTAGATGCTAAATGTTGGTTGTTCTCTCTCCTATGCTAAATTTTTCTTTAGTTGATTAGGTCAGTTGATGATGTATTTTGGTGGTTAAATCAAATCTACAAATTCCTTAAATTTCAGGGGGGGGGGGGGGGGGGG